TATGTAAAGAAAATCTTTGACAATGAACGGAATATTTATCACACTGATTGACTATTCTCCATAGTTACTTAATCTAATCTCTAGTATTAACCTATTGCTTCCGAAGGCGAAAGTTTGGGTCAGTGAATAAAAATACTAGTGAAGTGAAATTAACTGATATCATCCGTAAATTGAACTTCTTAAGACATTGTGCACAAGAATCATTAAGACAAGTGTACCGATATAAAAAAGAATTGTGTTAAAAAAACAAAAATAACAAAAAGCCTTAGATAGATAAGTATTTGTGTAAAGAATTTCTTAGGTTATGGTATCTTAGGTTATATTCGTAATTTAATATATTACTCACGATTCAGCGCAGTGACGAATTAAACACATAAGTGGGTTGAGACGATCGTTTCAGTTTTTAGTGCAAATATGGCGTTGTAGACAGATTTTTTTATTAAGTTCATTGTTAGATATATATAACATCCTCGTATTAGTTAATAACAATCAATACTGTTAATTACACAGTTGCCCTTCATAATACTAAAACTTATTTTCTTCTGTACAGAAAAAATTTTTCTATTAAAATTTTTATCTAAATTTTATTTGTACTATAAAAAACCAGTTCTTTTAAATAATAATATTTATATATTATCTTTATGATAGCTTGAGTTTGTTTGTTTATATATATTTAATATTTATATATTTATTCTACAGCTGGTTTATGATTTCGTTCTAATATAATTACAGCAAGTGAATTTGTTAATAAAACTTTCATAGCAAATTAACAAAACTCTAGAAAAATGTGCGAGCGTAAAAAGTCAAGTACGGCTTTGGGTCAGTTGGTTAAGGAGCGCTGACTCTGAGCTCCAAATTTGGCAGGACACGAGTTCGATTATTGGTACTTGTAGTATCCAAAAATTTTTTACGAATAATTAAATACAAGAATAATTTCTGATAATGGGTATTTGGTAATACTCGAAACAGCTGTATGGTCAGCCAAAAATTTAATTGCGAGGGTGGTTTGATAAGTTAGTGACTTTTTGAATAAAACAAATTTTTTTTGGCAAATAATCATATTATTTTTCTACATAATCACTTGGACTAGTGTTTTTCTATTTGTTTTATTCCCCCCAAATAATAGGTTTTATCAAAGCTCTCAAAATACGCGTTTGTTTCGGTAATGACTTCTTCATTTGACTCAAATCTCTTACCGCTCAGCCATTTCTTTAGGTTTGGAAACAGAAAATAGTCGCAGGGGACTAAGTCTGGAGAATATGCTGGATGGGATAGCAGTTCGTATCCCAATTCGTGGACTTTGGCCAGTAGTGCTTAATCACCACACGAAATTCACTTTTTTCCACTTTCGTAAAAATTCACGAGGTTGTCTGCTTTGAACGGCTATCAAACATCAACTGAAAGACGTGGTTTGCTCAAAATTAGAAAGTTGCTCACTTGTAGATTTTAGTTGACAGCAACACTGTTACATTTGGAGTAACTGCACGGGAAATTTAAAAAGTCACTGACTTATCAATTCGCCCACGTAATTGAAATGATAAAAAAATGAATCTTTGTGGTTGTAGTTCACTTAAACCTCTATAAATATTTTTTAATAAATATCAATATAAATTTTATTTTTACTTTTTCATTTTATTTATTTATATTATATTTGTAATATTAATATATTATATTTATATTATATATATTTATATATAAAACAAAACATTACTCTTGTCATATTTTGTAATATTTTCCATTTCAAATGTGTAGTATATTCTTAAATATTAGAGCACATTCAGGGCTATGCCAGTTCCTAGTACACAGCTTCAAACCATCTGCTTTTCATCTTTAATCGACTTTCAATTCCAGAGTGCCTTCCCACTTCATATAATTTATAATGAATTGTTATTGCATTTTCAATGGCAGTCAATTAAGACAGCAAAATTCGAGATTAGAAATTTGGGAACTATTATTCAATATTATTGAAGATAATTTTCAAGTGTGGGATTGTGCTATTCTCCAAATCTGCAAATATTACAATGAAAATATGTAAGGAGCTTATTTTCTATAGTAATTAAATTAATTATACATTGTTTCACAAAATAAGCACAAAGTATAATCTGAAGACTTACGTTTAAGTACGAATTTGCATTTGTGCTTACTGCGGAGCAATATTGGATAGCATAATTAAGAATTTTGGCATATTTAGCTATTATTTTAACTTTACAAATTATATGAATTGCATTAGAGCAGCTTTATGAGAAGGCATCATCTTTGACTGACAAAATTTAATTAAATATTTAATAAGTTTTGAAAAATTAAAGTTGAAATTAATATAGCTAAATGCCTTTAAGTTATTGTTCTACAATTGTCATTTTTTTTTTTTATTGGAATATGTAAATAAAATAAAATAAAATAAAATTAAATAATTTTGAGTTTACCAAAGCATAAACATAAATTGTTATTATCTATGCATATTATTTACAGAGAAAAAAAATGTTTATTTTTTATCTTTTAAATTTAATTAAACTATGAGTGCAAAACTCGGTAAATTGTTGAATTTGTTCTTATTAAAAAATTTTTTATTTTGCATATCATATGACGACGCAGCACGGAACGCTGTGCTAACATCCGGCGTAATAAATTTCCTTCCGGTTGCGCAGCATGTAAACGTATTTGTTTTTTAATACAGCGAATTCGAGAAAAAAATGACAGCTTACCATACTATGTTATATACAAATTGCTGTGGACTGGATATACTCTAACATAGCAAAGTGTTCAGCCGAGCTAAAGTCCGTTTCAAGTCAACATCCGCTCAAGTGGCTGCTACATTAGTCGTTGATTTTCTTAATATTATAAATTATATTTAATAAAAATAAATTACTCCTCTGCCGCATGCAACACGGCACTGAAATATGCATATTGCCATAGCCTGTGCGTGTATTCACCATGAAATAATGAAAATTATTCCGCAATTCTGTGGTTCCATTGCTGTTTTCTTTCATGTCGAAGATTTCGAGTAACTACGATTGCAAATAGGCTCTTCCAACCTACCAAATGCGGTTGCATGAGGCTGTGTAGGCAAGCGTGAATTCCCAATAAAATATCCACTTCTGATATGCGTTCTAGATGGAAATTTTGTGGTTTGTTTTGTTAGTAAATATCAAATAAAACGAAATAAAGAATTAGTAAAATTTACCACTTTTCCTCTAATGTAAGTTGTTGGATGTGTTGATGCGATGATGTGATGAGTAAAGTTCTTCATTTACATTGAAGTCACTTAAATGAAAATGTTACATTAGCAGGCAAGCTAAAGAATTGTGAGGCTGTGCCAAAGAAAATTATTCAGATGCAGATACAATTTCAGCTAGGATAAATGTAAATAGTACTTTACCATACCTCCCATGCCTCAACCATTGCCTCTACCAATGCCTCTACCAATGCCTCTACCATTGCCTGTATGTTGACTTACTTAAGTCAAGTTCAGCAAATAAGTTGATGTGGCGTTGAAAAGTGTTGTTAAATTGGTATAAAGTTTTTAACGACAATGCAAATATTTTAGTAGAGAAAGGGTACGCTTTCATGTGGAAAAGGCTGAAGTGAATTAAATTAGAATGAAAGTGACATCTTCTAGGTTGTACATAATTGCAAATGCTGAGTAAGTTTCAAAAATTGAATACAATTTTATGTACTTGAAATGCTTGCGTGTCTCGAAATTTCAATGAAAGCAGATTACTTCCGAAAACCATAACCAAGAATTCGCAATAAAGTATCTTTAAATTTCACTTAAAAGAGATAAATTTAATATTAGTTTTTTTTTTATTGTATAAATAAATCATAGAATTTGGTTTCTATAGCAAAAATAATAAAAAAGTAATATTAAAGTATGTACAAATTACATCTCAACCCACAATTTTTATTGAAATTGTAATAAAATTTACAGAAGGGAATGCGCTCTCGTGGTGGGTTAATTTTATATTTCTGAGAATTAAACATTATTTTTATTCATGGCAAAATATTTAGTATCTTATTGTGTAGAAAGAGGAAATTATTATTTTTATTTATTTTTTACGAATTTAATAGTATAGCATATGGTTACGGAATTTTTCATCGTTATTATTGAGTGAATAACTTTTTAATTCTTATTGCGGAAGAGATTAAAAATATTACTTCGAAAATATTTGCTTAATTAAAAAAATAAAACGTCATATTAAAAAAAATTATACGCTTTTTTATATACATTTATTATATTAAAAATATATTTATCAGTATATTTCAAATACATTTTCTTAAATAATAAAAATTTAATGTAATTAAAAAAATAATACACTTTTATATACATATATATGATATTTAAAATATATTTTTCACTATATAACTAATGTTCTCACTTAGAGTTTTAACTCAAGTATCATTATCTTATAAGACTTTAATTAAAATAATGTTTAATAGATTATGATATATGACAAGCTTTGAGATATTTTTCTAAGGAGTCGATTGGGTCTTTTGTGGATGGTAATTGTTATAATCTAGTATGTTTTGCATTAGTTTAAACAATCTTAAATAATGAAATGTAAACAAAATTCAGTTAAATATAAACTGTCAATCTTGTCGGTTGTATTTACTTCAGTTGGCGACGAGGATAAAAATCTGCAATTATTCAATCGCTTTCACGCTTATTTCGTACCGTTCAATTTTACATACAATCATGCCGGGCGAAAGTGAAATTTATAAGCAATTGCTTAAAGAACAACAAGAGTTCTCAAAAAATTTGCTGAAACAACAACGTGAGTGGATGGACTCAATGTTTCAAAAACAAGGTACTGCCGGTGTATCTGAAAGAAATAACAACATTGTTCCAGTATTTCACAAATTTTCGAAAGAACAGCAAACCTGGGAATCGTACTTAGAACAACTTAACCAACATTTTTTAGCATATTCAGTTCAGTGCAGTGAAAAACAAAAATCATTTTTCTTGTCTTGGATTGGCACAGAAAATTTTGAGGTCAGTATTTTTTTAAAGCCAAATGCACATCCGAAATTTTACAAAAGCCGACAAATTCCATTTTCGCAAATGTCACTTTTCAAGAAAGAAGTCAATCGATTGACAAATGCGGGTATTTGGAAACCTGTGAAGTTTTCCCAATGGGCTTCGCCTATTGTACTAGCGCCAAAAGCTGATGGTTCCATAAGAATTTGTGGGGATTTTAAACAAGCAGTCAATGCGCAAATTGACATTGAACAATATCCTTTGCCCATACGCGAAAGTCTTTTCCATAAAATTAATTGCGGTCAACATTTTACAAAAATCGACCTTAAGGATGCGTATTTACAAATGGAACTCGACGATGAAGCAAAAACAATTCTGGGCTAGTGACAATGCCATTTGCTGTTGTAATACTTTTTGGTGTGCTGGTGTTTTCAGTCCCTTTACTATCACTTTCTGCACCAGATTCGTGTTCTAATTTTTCCTGCTTAAGCATATCCATCACTTCGATTGGAGAACGTACTTCAAAGCCATCAATTGATGAACGGACTTTGTAATGAGTTTTAATGTGTTTCGAAAGATGATCGCTTCGCATGAATTTTTTATTACATTCACGGCACTGGAAACGTTTTTCTCCAGTATGTGTTCTACGATGCCTTTGCAGTTCATCAGATCGAGTAAAGCGTTTTCCGCAAAACATCCATGAGCAAACAAATGGACGTTCGCCAGTATGCCAACGTAGATATTGACAAAGACATCGCACAATTAACTGAAAATTGTGATGTGTGCAAAATTGCAAATCCTGTTCACGCACGTGAATACTTAAGCTGGCCTGAAGCTGATCGACCTTGGGAGAGAGTACATATCGACTTTGCTGGTCCATTTTGTAATTCAATGTGGCTAATTTGTGTCGACGCTTTCTCGCAATTTCCGTTCGTTGTACAACTATCTACAACAACAACGGTTGACACCGTATCAGCATTGTCTTCTATATTTTCTCTGGAAGGTATACCAGAAACCATCGTAAGTGACAATGGTCCGCAATTTACAGCTGAAGCATTCAAACATTTTTGCTCAAAACTTGGCATCAAACATATAACAACAGCGCCGTTTCATCCAGCCTCAAACGGGTTAGCCGAACGATTCGTCAGATCTTTTAAAACTGCTGTTCAGAAAAACATTGACGATGGATTGTCTCTCAAATTCGCTGTATCAAAATATCTTGCAACATATCGTGCAATGCCGAATGCTGAAGGTAAATCACCTGCGGAACTTTTACATGGAAGGCCTGTTCGTACCTTGTTGAGTCAACTGTTTGAATCGCCTAGGAAGCACCTTGAAGCTTCGAAACGGAAAATGAAATTCAGTCTAAAGCAACCCGTCTTCGCTCGAAACTACGCAAGAGGGGAAAAATGGATAAAAGGAGTTATTGTGAAACAACTTGGTAAAATGGTTTACCGAGTGAACACATCTTTTGGTTACATCAAACGTCATGTTAATCAGCTTAAAACTAGAAGTAGCTCTGACCTCTCTTCACAACCAATTTTTGAATTCACTCCAAATTTCATCAATGCCACACCGCCTTCATCTAGCCAATCAACATTAATGCCTAGTGAAGAACGTTCTACCGAAGTAGTTCAACTTCGAAAAAGTGGTCGTATTCGGAAGGTTATTAATCGATTTGAATCCGACGATTTCAGGAAAACTTGAACTTTGTCAAAAATTAAGGGCGGAGAAAGTGTTATAATCTAGTATGTTTTGCATTAGTTTAAACAATCTTAAATAATGAAATGTAAACAAAATTGAGTTAAATATAAACTGTCAATCTTGTCGGTTGTATTTACTTCTAAAAAATCTTTTCGGTAACACGAAAGTACAAGAACAATCTTTCGAAAATTTAACGGAAAAACTAACGGATCATTTCCAGTCGAAACGACATGTGGTCGCTGCACGTTACGATTTTTTCAAAAGGGAAATGAAGCCACATCAATCATACAGAGAGTGGGTAGCCGATCTCCGCGGATTGGCAAGAGAGTGTAACTTTTCGTGCTCAGCCCAGAATTGTTTACACAATTTCGTGGATGATATGATTCGTGACCAAATTATTATACGTACACCTCACGATGCAGTGCGCACGGCTGCGTTCCAAAAGCCCCAGCCGACACTTGCTGATGTTTTACAGATTGCAGAATTGTACGAAACAACCACTAAAACGGTGGCAACAATTAAAGAACAAACGATCGAAAACTCAATGCCTGTTAATTCAGTTGGTACAATTATAAAAAAACCGGGTGTTTTCAACAATAACAATAATAAAGTAAAATTCAAATCATGTTCTGGCTGTGGAAACTCTCATGCAAGAGAAAACTGTAAATTTAGAAATGCTGTATGCAATAGATGTAGCAAAATTGGACATATTGCGCCAGTGTGCATGTCAAAACAAAACAAGAACAACAAACGTAATTCAGGTGATGAAAACAAGAAGAAAGATTACCGTCGTAAAAGTCACAACATTGGTACTGTTGAAACAATTAACAGTTTAACAGGTATTGTAAAAACTGAAAGCAATAAGAATTACATTGACTTGGAAATTTGTAATAAAATTGTGTCTTTCCAAATGGATTCTGGTGCAACAGTTTCTCTAATAAATAAGCGAACATTCAAAATTCTAAATTGCCCAAAGTTGCGAAATTGTACAAAAACCTTATTTGGTTTTGGCAAAAATGAAATTCCAGTGCTTGGTGAACTTTGCGTAGATATCAAATGTGGCGGAAAAGAAAGGGAAGTGGTAATCGTTGTCGTGGATGTCGAAAACTGTAACAATTTATTCGGTTTCGATTTATTTAAAGAATTCGGGTTTGAGATTCAACAAATTTGTAACTGTGAATCAGTTAGTGAATCACACAGAATTAGCGAGCTGTGTAAGAAATATGGTGATATTTTTGAACCAGCTCTTAATGCTGATGCTTTATCTCGTTTACCTGTTGGTGAAGACAAAACTTTTGATCATGAAGAATCCTGTTTCAACATCAATGAACTTAACACACCTATCGACGCTGAAATAATTCGTCAGCATGCCAAAAATGACCCAATTCTTCGCCGAGTTTATTTTCTCGTTACAAACGGTTGGCCTGAAAAGCTAATGCCTCAAGATGCTGATCTTCGATCATTTTTCAATCATCGCTTTGCTTTAATACTTAACAACAATTTGCTTTGCCTCCAGACGGAGTACAACCGGGTTGTCATTCCAGCCTCCCTTAAGCAGAAAATTCTTAAACTTCTTCATGATGGTCATTGGGGAGTATCGAGAATGAAACAGCTAGCTCGACAACATGTCTGGTGGACTAATATTGACAAAGACATCGCACAATTAACTGAAAATTGTGATGTGTGCAAAATTGCAAATCCTGTTCACGCACGTGAATACTTAAGCTGGCCTGAAGCTGATCGACCTTGGGAGAGAGTACATATCGACTTTGCTGGTCCATTTTGTAATTCAATGTGGCTAATTTGTGTCGACGCTTTCTCGCAATTTCCGTTCGTTGTACAACTATCTACAACAACAACGGTTGACACCATATCAGCATTGTCTTCTTTATTTTCTCTGGAAGGTATACCAGAAACCATCGTAAGTGACAATGGTCCGCAATTTACAGCTGAAGCATTCAAACATTTTTGCTCAAAACTTGGCATCAAACATATAACAACAGCGCCGTTTCATCCAGCCTCAAACGGGTTAGCCGAACGATTCGTCAGATCTTTTAAAACTGCTGTTCAGAAAAACATTGACGACGGATTGTCTCTCAAATTCGCTGTATCAAAATATCTTGCAACATATCGTGCAATGCCGAATGCTGAGGGTAAATCACCTGCAGAACTTTTACATGGAAGGCCTGTTCGTACCTTGTTGAGTCAACTGTTTGAATCGCCTAGGAAGCACCTTGAAGCTTCGAAACGGAAAATGAAATTTAGTCTAAAGCAACCCGTCTTCGCTCGAAACTACGCAAGAGGGGAAAAATGGATAAAAGGAGTTATTGTGAAACAACTTGGTAAAATGGTTTACCGAGTGAACACATCTTTTGGTTACATCAAACGTCATGTTAATCAGCTTAAAACTAGAAGTAGCTCTGACCTCTCTTCACAACCAATTTTTGAATTCGCTCCAAATTTCATCAATGCCACACCGCCTTCATCTAGCCAATCAACATTAATGCCTAGTGAAGAACGTTCTACCGAAGCAGTTCAACTTCGAAAAAGTTGTCGTATTCGGAAGGATGTAAATCGATTTGAATCCGACGATTTCAGGAAAACTTAAACCTTGTCAAAAATTAAGGGCGGAGAAAGTGTTATAATCTAGTATGTTTTGCATTAGTTTAAACAATCTTAAATAATGAAATGTAAACAAAATTCAGTTAAATATAAACTGTCAATCTTGTCGGTTGTATTTACTTCAGTAATAAACTTTCGAGTTGGTGTGGTCTACTGGAGTAAACTAGGTCGATATTGAATTTTTTCAATTTGGTTTTAAGACCTTTGGAGACGGTGTTGTTATACACTACGGCGACCCTTCTTTGTTTTGGCTTCTCTGTTGTTAAGGTCGTCATGTTTCTGGAATATAGTTGCCTGCGTTTCTTTTTTATAATTCTGTCGATGGTGTTGTGGGAGTATCCGTTGATGTCCGCTATTTCCTTGATGTGTGTGGTTTCCTCATTGATAGCTGCTTGTGTAAGGGGTAATGTTAGCATTCTGTGTATCATATGGTGGAAGGCTGCCATTTTGTGTTGGAACGAATGGTTTGAGTTGTTGGGTATGACACGTTTGGTACTCGTTGGTTTCCTATAGATACTGAATTCGAAAGCGCCATTTTTGTGTTGTATCAGTAGGTCTAAGAATGGTAGGTATCCCTTGTTTTCTCGTTCGTGTGTGAACTCAATGTTTCCATGTGCATTGTTGAGATTCTCCAAAGTTTCTTGTATTCTGTTTTTCTTTACGATCGCGAATACATCATCTACGTATCTGATCCATACCCTTGGTAGAATTTCGTTTTCTTTTAATTTGGATTCCAGTCTACTCATGAACAATTCGCTTAATAGTGATGATAGGGGGTTACCCATTGGAGCCCCTTTTGTTTGTTTGAAGAACCTGCCTCTGAAGGTAAAGTAATTTTCTTCCATGCAGAGTTGTGCTAGTTGGATGTATTTCATTGTTTTAACTTTGTCTGTTTTCTTTTTGAGGAGTTCTTCCTCAAGGATCCTTATTGCTTCTTTTACGTTAACGCTTGGGTATAACGCCTTGACGTCGAATGACACCATTTCTTCATCTCCTGTAATGTTTTCCCGTTTTAATTTTTCTGCGAATTCATTGGAGTTCTTGACTGAAAAATTGTGTGGGCTGCATAGGATGTTGGTTAGTTCTTTCACTAACCATTTCGCGATGCGTTGGCATGGGGATCTGTCTGCTGTTATGATTTCCCTCATTTCCTTTCCGGGTTTGTGAATTTTAGGTAAAGCTTTGAATCGTGGTAGTGAGGGTGCCGGTTCCTTCATTTGTTTCCTATCAAAATTTAGAAATTTTGAACACTTTTCAATCAGTTTGTTGGTTCTGTTAATCATGTCCGGTAGGGGGTTATTCCTGAATTCTCTGTAGGGGCCGTTGTCGATTTTTTCTTGGACTTTTTGGTCGTATTCGTCTTTGTCCATTATGACTAATGCGTTTCCTTTGTCGGCTTTTAGGTAATATACTGGCTTCTTTTTTAGTTCCTTTAGTAATTTTTGGTCCTTACTTAATTTTGTTGTGTGCTGGTGGATTCAATGACTCTTGCTGTGAGGTTTCTGATGGCTGATTGGTCTTCCAGTGATAGTGGGAACTCTTTGGTTGAGGACCTGATTGCGGATTCTATATCGGTGACTAGTTGTTCTATGTTGGGATTCTCGTTGATTGCATGTTTTAAACCATTGTTGAGTAGTTTCAGTTGGTGTTCTGTAAACTGCTGTGTTGACTGGTTAATGACGAAATTTTCTACATTTTTTACTGTTGGTTTTTCTGCTGGGGTCTTTTTTGTTTTCACCGACTTTAACTTGTGGCTGTGGTTTATGGATTTCCTCTTTCTTTCGAACGTCTCGGTGGTCTTAACCTTTTTGAGGAAATGGTCGAATTGTACTGGGTATTTCTTTGCTAACTTTAGGTGCAGATAATATGCTTCTCTTGTTTTTATGTCCAACTCGGCTCTTGATGACTGAATTGAGTCTCGTATGAACTCAATTTCCAGTTTTTTTATTTTAGTCGAAGATACTTTCGTGGATTTGATTGATATTTTGTGGCTGGTGGGGATGATATTCTCTTTACAACATTTCTTTAGGAAAGCGATGTCTTTGCTCAGTTTTGCTATTGATGTTTTTAATTTTTGGAATTTTTTGACTCGAGTGCCATGTTGGGCCTTTGTATAATTTTGTTATTAATTTTTTTGAGTTGTTACGTCGAAATTTTTATTAAAATCTGTTTTGTTTTTTAAGAATGTTAGCTTTTATTTCGTGCGTTATTTTTTAGTATAATTCTATACGTATTTCGGCAAATTCGCTTTTGCCTTCATCAGGAGGATTCCTAATATTAAAAACATCTATGCAACTTACAAGCTATTTATACTTATTACAGGTCTTATAATTTAAATCTAATTGGTAGGGTTATTGTTGTTTTTGTCCTTGAGGGTGTTAGGTAAAAAATGGTGGGATGGGTTAGTTTTTGTTGTTCAGGCTTAATCATGCGCAGGTAG